TTGGAGGGTCGGCAGGCTCAATTGGGTAGTCATCAGTCGGATTTGAGTCGGCAGCAAGTGCAGTCCATTGGTGAACAGGTGAAATTGGGTGGTCAACAGACACATGTACGGCATGTAGTTACTAAGGAAACATTCCAACCTGATGTGACAAAAGATTTGAGTAAGACCTTGTCTACAGCACAGCCTGTCAGCCATCCTAAGCTGTGTCAGTCCACAGGGCCTGATATTAACAACGCCCCCACCACCAATACTGCTGTTAGAAGCAGTGCCAATATCACTAGCAGCAGGAATCAGGGGTCATTAGTGACAAAGATGTTGCAAGGGATTGACTTGCAGGCATTCACTTCTGTGGACCAGGCTCTGTCCCTGTTTGAGGTGGCCCCTGCTCAGCAACAACAGAACACACCTCAGTTTCTTCCTGACAGCCTCCACACTGTCTCCGGGTCTTACTGTGAGTATAGAACACAGTGGTCATTTACTTTTCACACGCTTCGTACTTGACTTAACATTTAGGTTAGCACTTTTATACACCAAGATATCTTGGTTTTACTTGTATTTAATGTTTCCTTGTTTAAGATCTAGTGCCCAGTTTTGGATTATTTTATGTTTGACATAGTGAAGACTTCTAGACTGAACACCATAATTACCTATCATTCAGGATAGACAGGTTTAAAGTATACTCAGGTTCAATCTACAGTATTAAGGAATATACAAATGTATAGCAGTACACACCATTATATGAAAAATTTATAACAACCGACGTCAAACTATCAGCCTTCTAGCATCGCAGGGCTCTTCAGGCTAATTTCAAAAGGACGTCATGACGTCAGTTACATATCATCATACTACAAAGTACAATTTAAGGTTTTGATGAAATGATGTTTCTTTTACATTTATCTTTTGTTATATGTATTTATGTTAATAAAGTTAGGGGGTTGGAGAATGAATTTGTCAACCATCCTGTAGGGGGTTTGGAGGTAAAGAGACTGTTCTATCATTAAAATCATATTAATGATAACGAAAAAGTTCATTCAAATGTAACATAATAGTGTGAAGATTCAGAAAGTAAAAACAAGATGACAGGAGAAATCAGAGTTGAAAATGATAGCAATTAGGATATTTTAAGAAACAGATTCTGTGCCTAAATTGGATAAAATCATTGGGGAAATTGGAAATTTTAAAATGTTAAAATTAACAAATGGAATGCTTTTTTGAGTTGTTGCTTTTTTTTTTTTATTAAATCCCTGTCTGCATTACGGTATATTTCTGTGTAAATGAATCTGTGTATTCTGTAAAACCACTGTGTATTGGGGGAAAAATGTGGTCATGTTGGAGTTAAGTTTCAACAGGGTTTACTGTAATCTAAAACAGTGTCATCTGTGAAGGGAGTGTTGTGACCAAGGGCTTCCCACTCCCTCCTGTGTGTCAATGACAGATTTAGGTTGACAGGTTTATTCAAATGCTGAGGAGTGCTAGCTGTCAATTCACAGCCAAGGGAATGAGTTGTCTGTTTGGTTAACTCATCTCTACTGCTGTAAAATGAACCAGTTGGGGATTAAGACACTATTATAGAGCATTATTTCCTCATGCACATTCCCCGATACCAATAGATGAGTCTGGTTTTCTCGAGACATCAGTTGATGTTATGTTTTTTTATTGCAGGCCCATCCACTTCCTGTGTGTCGGTGAAGTCTGCGACAACACTACCCACACAGGTACACAATTTTATCAGAGCTGTCTCACCAGCACTGTTCACAAATGACCAAAAGCAGCTCTGTATTTTTTCCCCTCTAATTTATTGATTATTCCATATACTATAGCTGGTGTGTTATGGAACTTGTCATGTGTAAAAGCACCTGCTCTCAACAAGCTATGACGACTTCTTTAACGAGTGTCAGTACCAAACTGTTTTCATGATTTTCCATTTTCCAACACATTTCTTGTTAGTGAAATAGAACTAATTAGTGCCCAATCATACTTATTAAACCCAAGCCTTTTGCCTATTTTTAGCCCCGCCTTCAGTAGTCATCATCTGTCTGCTTGCAATTCCTTCGTCTGTCCTTATAACAGTTCTTGATATTGCTTTTTGAGATCTTTCTCAATTTCATTTAGGTTCTCCTTAATCCTTCACTGTACATGTCAAATTTAAACCAGTCCTTCTTCTACTAATTAGCATAATCGTAACTCTCGGTGAATTGGCCCCTATCAACTTCAATGCCTGTAGCAGTCATCATCGAAGGAATCGGCGATATCGAGAACAGCCAAGGTCATACATTGTCCGATTGCGATTTTTTTTTTTTGNTTGAGGAATCATATTATGCTGAAGATAACATTATGTAGATGGTATATAGTCATATAAAATTTGCCAAAACTTTCAGACTAAGTTTAATTGAAACCAAACTGACGACTCTGAATGGGGTAACATAGACTGGTAGCATTGCATGTCCTGATTCTGAGCACTGATGAGATTTTTTTCTCGAATGAACAAGTTTGAGGGAAATTAAACAGAAATAGTCTCAATGTTGTCGTTCAAAGATATTTCTTAATTTTAGCTGGAAAGTCAGTTTGCAATAATTTTCTTTACTCGACACAGGGACGTATATACTTTACATGTCTCTGCTCTACAGTGAGAACTTATCCAATCATGTCGTCATTGAACAACTCTACTTCGTGACCAGTTTCTGTGCCGGAATATTTATATTGAAAAGGCATACTGTGGTACCTCTACGGTCCAAAAATACAGAAATATATCGGTGAAAAATGTTTACAAAATAACTGCAACGTTGGTGTCTGCTGTTTTTAAATGTCGATATTTTTAGCAATGACAAATCGATGACATTGTGTCTTCCTTATGTTACGTGGACAATCCAGACAAACAGCTAAATACTGAAAGTTACACATTTAATTGTATACAATACAGTACCTATGTATGTAATGCTAAATTAGATCACAGACTTATATTATCTAAAACCGTGATAACATTTATCTTGGAAATATAATTGAATTATGAGATATTTTTGTTTTGTTTCTCCCTATACATGTAGCATACACAAGTTATAATTTAACATCTTGGCAGAGACGTATATACATACATCTATGATCTTGGTTAAATAATGAAAATAATCTTGATCCACTTCCGTGTGAAATTTGTGTACGGTACATGTAAATAACACTAAACACCTGTGTCCAGTGCTGACAGCAGGAGGCCCAAGACATACCTATATACCTGTGTACAGGTATATGACATCAAACGGATGGCATCAGGTGGGCAAGAGGGTACCTAAAGTTAGTATGTAGATTGCAATTGGTGTAGATTATGTGTCTTTCAATTTTCAATTTAACAACAATGTCCTCAGGCGAGATAACGGGGAAATGTATAAGCAGATTACGTCTCTGGTATAAGGATCAATTTCAAGAAAAAAATAAATAAATGAAAGTACTGTCCCATTCACATTATATGTAAACCACAATCAGTACAACTGCATCACTCGACAGGTGAAATCAGAAACGAGGCAAATAATGCTGGACCATATATTGTACATTATCTATCTGATCAGGTGGTTCATGGATAAATTACTCATCTTTGTGAGACTTGAATGGACAGGTTCTCCCATTACAATATTCTTAGAAGTGGTGTTTATATTTATCATGTGCTAAATTCTTTGGATTGCATAAAGAATAAAATCGTTTCAAGTTTTATGACTGGGAGAAAAAAAACCAAGGGTTGCTGCTCATTTTGAGTATAAATTATTGTACCGGTGCATTTTTTTGTCAATTCCAATTGTATATCTAGATATTGTAAAGGAAGGGGTGCGATGCACCTACTTTAATTTGACTCATTTTTTAATCAATTGTTTTGTGTTTGTATATAGGTGTTCATCCAATTTTCTAAAGATCAATTTAATAATAAAAAGTATATTATTTACAGTCACTATAGATTAACCAATTTTGTAAAAAACACAATTCATTTAGATAGGATCCAACCAGAGACAGTATATGTCTCTGATCCAACACACCATTTGCCTCCTCTGGAGAAACTCATTTCATCATTAAAACTGTGAGAAAAAAACATTTATATGTATGTAGTCTTTAAATATTGTCTACACAAGTAAGTGACCACGGAATATATCATATAAGTAGCTAAAAAGCTCACATATTGAATGCACGATCAAAGCTTCCAGGTATATTCCTATAGGGCTGTTTTAGCAGCGTTGAACTTATGACTTCACAGATGTGGGCTACCCCTATCGAGGCGATCGCCGCTGAGCCAAATGTGTGTTTTTCAAATAAATCGCAATATCTCGGAAACGGAGTCAACTACAACGTTCACACTTTCTTAGCCTTTTATTGTATAATATGAAGTATTTTCATAGCTTGATATAGCAAAACGTTTAGGATACACTTTAAGATCATAATCTTGTGTTAAAAAACTTCTTTATGAATAACTAAAAGGCCTAGCTTATGGGTGATGATATTTGACCAGTAGCATGGTCACCCATATACAAGGTCACAGGGGTCAGGTGTGTTAAACACTTTAAATAACTTCTTTATGAAAAACCAAAAAGGCCTAGGGTGATGATATTTGACCAGTAGCATGCTGAGATGAAAGTCTATCAGTCTTTTTAAGGACATTGATCCACTTTCAATATAACAGGGGTAAAATGTGTATACACATTAAACAACTTCTTCTTAATAACCAAAAGGCCAAGGGTGATGATATTTGGCCAATGGCATGTGATATGATGCCGTTGAGATTTGTTGTCCATCAAATCCCTCCATCCGTCCTTAACCCTTTCACCACTGTAAACCACAATGGACTTATCCAGATCAATGCATAGTAGAGTTGATTAAAGTTACATAGGGGTGAAAGGGTTAAGCAATTCTTGTTAGTGAAGGGATTTCCTATGAAGGTTTGTTAGTGAAGGGATTTCCCATGAAGGTTTGTTAGTGAAGGGATTTCCCATGAAGGTTTGTTAGTGAAGGGATTTCCCATGAAGGTTTTCCTTTGCCCCTTGTTATGCATATTTTGGGGGGGACTTATAGGAAAACCAAGATGTTCACCAAACAGCAATCTTGAATTTTGACAGTTCAATTTTGTTATCAATATTTTATATGTATGTTCCTCTTATTAAAAATACCCTTGGTCCTTATAAAAATTCATTCATCTTTGACAGTTCTTCTAATTATGTAAGAATTACAGTTTTTAGCATTTTTCATATAGTTTTCCATTCTTATAAAATAACATTTGTCATAGTGGTGAATAAAATGTAACATTACGAAGTTTAGGTTAATGTTCAAGGTTCCTGTTCATGATTTCAAACAGGTTAAGTACCTGAAATGGAAAATGAAGAGCAAAGAAGGTAAAAGATCATCTTTAGTAGATCTAATAAAGATTCTTTCATGGTGGGTGCCAAGATCCTTCTAGGATCATTTGTTTTAGATCTGACAAATATTCTTATATGAGGAAGGCTAAGATCCTTCTAGGATAGATTTTATTTTTTAATAAGAGCATCATTAATGATATGTGAATAGTAATAAGTTTTCTCAATATTTGTTTAGATTGATGTAGGACATAATTTGGACAACGGTATGATGGAGGCCAATGCCTCGCCAGATTGGGAGTACTCTGGTACCAATCTAGCTGACCTCCTGATCCCAGATAACAGTGAACCGGAGGCTGAAAAAGATGACGATGCTTGGTCAACAGCATCTCTGGCCAGTGGAGATGGACAATTGCTGAGGATGTTGAAAACAGGATCTACAGATGAACTGCCTGGCACATCAGGAATCAGCTATAGTGAAAACACTATACAGGACAAAACTCCAAATGATGTTGAAGCTTCTGAATTTTACTGTAGTCCTGAGAAAGTGTTGAAGTTAGAATCATCCCCAAACGTCCAGCCCAATGTCTCAAGTGGTTTTACAAATTTTGCATTACCTTGCACAAATCCAAAGTCATCAAATATGAAACGTAAGCGGTACAAAAAGACAGCAGATGCTCTACAGGGTTCTGGTTTGATGGACATTACTGTGAAAACTGCAGAACTTATACAAAGAAATAGGAAGTTACAAAAAGACATTGAACAGTTAAAAAGTCAAGCAGCTCAATTTTATCAAAGTGTTCTTCAAAATCCAGAAAATAGAGAAATTGGAGAGAAGTTAAAAATGACAGAGGAGCAAAACATTCAACCATAACTGAGTGTTAATATAAAGTTGGTAGAAAATACATTTCCTGTTTATGTCATGTTAAGTTAATATCACGGTTTCCTCTGACAAATGAAAAGTGATAATAAGTGAAATCTATGGTAGTATCATTGGCTAGTTTATTGATTGTGGATTTTTAGGTCACCTGAGCTTTGCTCAGGTGACCTATTCCAATCGCTTTCCGTCCGTCGTCGTCCGTCGTCCGTCGTGCATCGTGCGTCGTGCGTAAACTTTTACATTATCAACTTCTTCTCAAGAACCAGTGGATGGAATTTTTTCAAACTTGGTCAGAGTCATCCTTGGTAGATGAGGCTACCAAAATGTAAAATTGGGATTCCTACCCCAACCCTAGGGGCCAGGGCGGGGCCCAAAAGGGAAAATTAACCAATATTTCAAAAATCTTCTTCTCCAGACTCAGAGGTATTACAGTTATTTTCTCTGCATGGATGGAAAGATCATCAGGGGCTTTATTTAAATTGTAAATTTCAGGACCCCCGAGCTATCCGTTCTCCCTTGGGGAGGGGGTAAAGTTTACT